TTGAACGGAGTGGCTCCCGGGACCGATCAGTGCCATAGCCCTGCAGTTTCTCCTGCCGACGCACGAAGCTAGGAAACAGCGGCGCGCCGCATGATATGCGTGGAAAAACTCTTGAAGGTCCTGAAGCTCCGACATCCGGTCCAGCTTCTTGCCAACGCACTCGATGAACTGAGGCAGCATACCTCGTTTGCATGCTGGAGACGGTATACCCAGGCGCACTGGAAATGCGTGGACCAATCAAGCAAGACCAAAAATCGAATTGAGCAGAATTATTTTTGCACACGCGCGTGCGTGCGCTTCAAACCAAATGCGTTGTGACCGCCCTTTTGCAAGTACGATGCTTGCTCAAGACAAGAAACCGAAAGGATCCTGATTCTCCTGCACCATTGGGAGACACTGCGTCTTTGCGTTCGCTGCGGAGTGCGCCGATGCTGCATGTGCGCCGGTCGCCGCACTAGTGGCACCGGTCCTGGTACGGTGTGTGCAAAAAGCTAAAACTGAACATTGTGCGTGCGTATGTATGCGCATATGAGCCCGCCTCAAGGCTGACTCAGCGGTCATCCCAAACTGGAGGATTGACCCTTCTTGGTCTTGTATGTCCATGGTCGCGCTGCCGGTAGCTTCATGCCCGGACGTCTCAACATGAGTGTAGAGGCTGGCAGTTGGAACTCGGATTTCTTCGCATCCGTGAACTTCATTGATCCTCGTGAAGCCCCTTGCACGGGCCCACGTTGAAGCATTTGTGATCATCTCCCTTAGCGGCCAGAGGGGATTTCAAATGATAAGCATACATACATGTACCGAAGGATGCGAACATACCCCACACACACACAAAGGTCCGTTGGATAAGACCCGAACTCCGACCACCCAAGGTTTGACAGGCTGATCCTGGAGTGCCACCCTCCTTCTTGTCGTTGTTCTTGTTTCTGCTGGTACCATTGCTTCACAACGCACTCGACGGTGGACAAGTCCCCGTGCTTACGAAGGAGTTCCACAAGTTCAGTTCCTGACAAACATGTTCAATACAATCAAGGTGGAACATAAACATATGCTGATAAGAGTCGGCCTTTGGGATCCTTGTAAAGGGCCTGGGCCTCCTTGCTCGCGGCGATGTGTCCGGATCGGTTGGGAGTGAAATATCGGCGGAGCCTAAGTTGAACCCCCCCCCCAAATCCACTTTATAAGATTGAAAGCTAGCGGTCAAAACATATCCCGTGCATGCGAGTCACTTCCAATATGATCCATCAGCATATGCGTTTTGCTTTGGGTCAGGATGGTCAGGCTTCAGCGTTTCCACTTGCTGGCTCTGGGTTGCGGTGGGCAACTGGGTCTGGGTAGCAAGGGTCAAAGCCGTGTTCATCGGCTCTTTCGAGCTGGCAGGTTCATCGGTGCCCCCTGCTGGTTCCACCAAAGAGGCAGGTGGGTGGAGGGCCTGGGAGATCACGACTTGGGTCGGCGAGACAAGAGACTCAGCAGGGGCAGCAAGGACTTCTGGTGAAGTAGCGGGGACCTCTGGTGATTTCATGAAGTCGTATCCATTTCCAAGTCCCTCAGGGTACGAATCGGTTGAGCTCACAATTTGTGTGGCTGAGCGCAACGGGCTAGCCTCAGCTAGCCTCTTTCGCCTGTTCTTTTGGTGGGCCTGGTAAACAGAACGCATTTTCTCTGCCTCCTTTGTGGTAGCACGCGGATGCCCTGGTACGAAATGCCCTGCAGCGCGAGGTTCATGAAACAGCCCACCTTAAAGTAGACTGATCAATCATCGGGTTTCCGTGCAGTGATCCAAATCTGGTGGCACCCGACTAAACTGCAGAAAAGTCTCGGGCTTCGGACGCAGGTGAGCCGCCAGCTTGCATCCCAAGCTCCTGCTGCAATCGCATCACGGCTGCATTTGCCTCCTGGGCGAACTGCCGTGGATGTGAGGGGTAGGATGGGTAGGGTTAGAACAGGGGCATCAAGGGCTAGATTCTCCAAGGCGCTGCAATTTGGGCGTCCAAGTCAGCAGGTGGGCTGGTCATGTTTTGCTCAGCTACTGTTTTCAAGCCCTCTTCAAAAGTAGCACAGGTCCGAACAACCGACATTTCGCCTTGAGCCAGCTGTATTGTACATTTGAGTGGGCCCATGCAGCAACGATGAGCTGTCCATTGCAATGGAATTCATCCTTTTAGAAGCCTCATCTGGTCTGTGTGCAGTCTATCACTTGGGAAGGGGGGGTCTAGCCCGTTCGTACAAACTGAAACTACGACTTTTCCGGATTTGCGGCCGTTTGCGGGGATTTGCGGGAGTTTTGACAAAATTTGCGGCCGTTTTGCGGCGATTTTCAGGAGTTTTTTTCCATATTTCCCACAATGTCACCTCAGAGCCCATTTCCCCCTTCCCAAGCCTTCACCGGATGAATTTTGCACAGCGGGTCCAAATACTAGAATGAAAGCGTGCAGGAGCACTGTCAATTACGAAAGCCAGAATGGCTTCTCTGCAGTTGGCGAAGCCTTGGCTGAGTGACTACACTTGGTTTGTTTGGAGTCCAGAACAAGCCAAGTAACATCCCGAAGTTCTTTTTTGAAGGCACTGATCACCGGCTGCCATGCGGGGGGGATGACCACATTCTTGTTAGAAGCTGCGTACCAAAAGCATTCCTCCATTTGAGCATCTTGCCAGAGGTCTCCCAACCCCATGTTGCCAAACACCGTAATCTCGCACGTCCCCTTTGCGATGCTGACCTTTTGTCGAAGACATGCAGCAGGAGTCACGCAAATCTTCTCGTTGATTTTCAGCAGTGACTTTCCTAGGCCAGATGGGTAGTGCCTCGGCGGCGGTGGGACGGTCGGCTGAACGAATGCACGATCTAAGGGAAAGGCTCCGTACCCTTCAAGGAACGTGTTGCTGTGAATCCCTGGGAGCCATCAGCTCGCTGATATTTGCCTGTAGGCAGTCATGTCTGTACTCCAAGAAGGATGCAAACAAGTTAGTTGGGGCGCGTGTTGTAGCCACCGAGGTAGCCTTGTCCCTCATCTTTTTTGACAACGTTCCTTTGTCCTAAGAACATGGCACGGTTGCATCAAACATGCTGTTGACTTTAGGTAAGGCCACCGCCAGGGCAACGGCAAGTTCATAACGATTTGTCCATATTGTGGTCCTCTTAGGCGAAGAAGATCCATGCAACATCATCCAAAATGAGTTCCGATGAACCTAAGGGGAGAGGGCGAGGTTAAACTTGGCCACAATTGAGGGTGTGAGTTCGGGGTTTGCTCACAACTGCCACCGAGAAGCCCAAGCAACACGATTAAATAGCCAGCTTAGCCGAGGGTGAAATGGAAACACGTCCGCCGATCCACTCGGTTGCTCCACACAGAAGGTTGCGTGGGTGCAGAGGGATACCAAAAGTAGAAGGGTGAGCCTAGGTGGCAGCATGAGGTCTCAAAGGGTCCGCTTGAAATCAGCGCATATGGTCTCTCAAAACCAGCCATGAGTCCGAGATATCATCAGGTTAGCACCGACCACCCATTCTGAAGTAAGATCTCCAAATACATTGATTGCTGTGCGCCATGATGTCCCTCGTGATATTCTTGTCCAGCTTGAGCATACCGGAGCACACAGGTGTAGACATCCGGGAACTGACTTCATTGCCAGAAGTAGAGCTAGCCTGAGATGCAACAAATTGTTTCGACTAGTTTTCCAGCAATAGGAAGGTGCCAATGCAGCCACAGAAACAGAAAGCCGGCCTGCGAATTGAAGTCCATAGCCCGAGATGTTTTCAGTTCGAAGCTGGCCACCATTTTTTTGGCTTTTCGAAACACGCGGCTCACCCGCCCTTTCCCACTGAAGTACTCGACCAATTGGAAGGTGAGCGCATTTGCATTCGCGTTTTCGGTCCACATCAACATCAAAACCTCAGACACCCGTTCAAAAAATTGCCAAACATAGCCCAACACCAAGCACTGACCTGAGCCAAGTCTCAGTTGCAATCAGCACCTTGGACCCCGGTGCAAGAGTAAATGGGATGGGATGGCACTTAGGCGCCTCACCTTGGGTGCACCCACTTGGGCTAAAAGGATCACAAGGGATTCCTCCCGGCAAAGCACCATCGCTCGACACCGCTCGTTCCGCGCTCTCAGGAAAACCAAATGGCTACGATTCACCACATGCACAACCAGTGCAAGGCAAGGTGACGGGCTGGGCAGCAAACGCTGACGCAACACCATGCTCCACATATAGCTGAAGTTTGTGGTACAAACATGGCAGTTGTACTGGAAGAGGATGCCCTTGCTGCAAATCGTTCAAAGTCATCACGGGGCATTTCCGCCTGGCAAGAGGATGGGGACGGGACCCTGCAAAGCTGTTGGAATTGTTTGTCATCGACCGGTCATTTGGTTTTAGTGGTCGCACACTCACATCCATCCACACACTCACATGCACACTCACACACACAATCACACATGTACCCAACAATACGTGCACGCACGCCTGGCATGCGGTCACACTTGTCAGGAGTTACACAAACACGCGGTTTCCACATGTTTCCACACTCCGCTAGTCGCATTTGATTTGCAAATCGATGGCCATGGGTATGTACAGCACGATTGGCTTATGTACCTTTCCATTGACCATGCCCCCAGGCAGCGGCATAGCCGACTGCAACCCCATAATCTGATCAGATTGATGCCATGCATGCTTGATGCACGCGAAACAAACTGCAAACGTCCTTATTGCAAGATTCGTCGATCAGGAAGTTCTGGCATACGCCTCGGCTGTTTTGCGTGAAACTGAGAAACAATTATAATCCCTTTGTTTTCGTTGATGGATCAAAGAACCAACCTCTCCAACATCGTAATGATCCCCAGTTACGAGCGCAGATCCATAGTGTTTTTTGGGATAAACTTGGAAGCTGCATGCCCGCACACACACATACGCGCAGGAAGGTGTATGCATATGTGATCACATGAGTGTGTGTATATACGTATTATTTTTATGTGTGTGTGTCCACCGGCTTTGTGTTGCTGTCAAGGCACCTCCCTGGCAGCATTGACAGCCTCCTGAAGCGAGGCACCCTCCGCGAGCTTCTGCTTTTTCACGCAGTGGTAGGCGGAGGACTTCCGGGATTGCCGGCTCTTCCTTGCAGCAACCGCAGGATCCACAGAGCTGGCAGGGTCAGGCTGAACGTCATCCTCTTCCTCATGCGGGCGCTTCTTGCCTTTGCCAGTCGTCTTGGCCGCCTTCGCTGGGGCAGCTGCGGCCTGCCCGTTTGTAGATCGCTTCTTTGTCGCCGTCGCCTTGTCACTAGCAGCCGCCTTGTCATCAGCAGCCGCCTTGTCATCAGCCTCCGCCGACCCCTCATCATCGGCATCAGACTCTGCCCTCATCGGCGCACTCTTGGCCCCACGGCCACGCCCACGACCGCGCCCACGACCGCGCCCCCGCCCCGCGCTGCCTTCTGCCAACTGCTCCGGCTCGTTCTTCTCAGCTTTCTTCGGCTTCCTGCCCCTCTTCTTGCCAGGGCATTGCTCCTCCGCAGAAATGAACGGGACTTTGCCAAACCACGAAGGCTTCGAAGAGCTGGCCTTCTCGTCCGCATCATCTGTCTGCTCAGAAACGCCCGCCTTCTCTTCCGTCTTCTCAGCAACGCCCGCCTGCTCAGCCACCTCGCCCACCATGGGCTTGCCTCGCGCCTTGCCCGCTCGCTTCCCCTTGCCCTTCTTCAAGTCGCCCGCCAGCTCCACCTCGGCGTTGTTCTTGTCGCTGGCCGCCTTGCGCTTCTTGCCCGCCGGCTTGTTCGCGTTGTCCACCTTGAAGTCCGCCTTCTTCGCCTCCACGCTGTCGTCAACCGCCAGCTCCTCCTTGGCCGTCTCCTTCTCCAAGATGCCCACCTTGTCCAAGTTGGCCGCCAGGTTGCCCGCCAGCTCACCCGTAGCAGACTCCTCCAAGATGCCAGCCTTGTCCAAGTTGGCCGCCAGGTTGCCCGCCAGCTCACCCGCAGCAGACTCCTCCAAGATGCCCGCCTTGTCCAAGTTGGCCGCCAAGTTGCCCGCCAGCTCACCCGCAGCAGACTCCTCCAAGATGCCCGCCTTGTCCAAGTTGCCCGCCAGCTTGCCCGTGAAAGACTCCTCGGAGATGCCCGCCTTGTCCAAGTTGCCCGCCAGCTCGCCCGTAGCAGACTCCTCCAAGATGCCCGCCTTGTCCAAGTTGCCCGCCAGCTCACACGTAGCAGACTCCTCCAAGATGCCCGCCTTGTCCAAGTTGCCCGCCAGCTTGCCCGTGGCAGACTCCTCCGAGATGCCCGCCTTGTCCAAGTTGCTCGCCAGCCCGTTCGTAAACTCATCTACGATGCCCACGTTACCCGCAAGCTCGCCCGTTGCAGACTCCTCCAAGATGCCCGCCTTCTTCTGCATGTTGCCTGCCAGCTCCGCCTTGGCAGTCCTCTCGAAGATGCCCGCCTTGTCCAAGTTGCCCGCCAGTTCGCCCGTTGCAGACTCCTCCAAGATGCCCGCCTTGCCCGCCAGCTCGCCCGTAGCAGACTCCTCGAAGACGCCCGCCTTGTTCTCCATGTTGCCTGCCAGCTCCGCCTTGGCAGTCTCCTTCTGCAAGATGTCCTTCTTGTCCAACTTGCCCTTGCCCGTCGCAGACTCCTCGAAGATGCCCGCCTTGCCCGCCAGCTCGCCCGTAGCAGACTCCTCCAAGATGCCCGCCTTGCCCGCAAGCTCACCCGTAGCAGACTCCTCGAAGATGCCCGCCTTGCCCGCCAGCTCGCCTGTAGCAGACTCCTCAAAGATGCCCGCCTTGTTCTCCATGTTGCCTGCCAGCTCCGTCTCCTTCTCGAAGATGCCCGCCTCGTCCAAGTTGCCCGCCAGCTCACCCGCCGCAGTCTCCTTCTTCAGGATGCCCGCCTTGTCCAAGTTGCCCGCCGCCGCCGTGGCAGTGGCGCTGGGGGGCAGGGTGTCCAGGTTGTCGGTGCCTCACGCTTACGCGAATCGAAGTCGGTCCCTACACACAGACACACACATATATGCACACTCATGCATGCAGAGAGACACACGCAGAATCTCACACATGCACACAGACACACACACACACACAAACATGCAGACACACACACACAAGACACAAAAAGCACGCTCACACATACATGTAAACACAGATCCATATATGTCATGCATATATATATATATATATATATTGCCCTGCGAGGAAAAACATGCAAATACATGCAGGCAAGGTGCAGACACCCCTTGGAGACATGCTTTCCTTGATTTTCTTTAAGTCGCTTAACCGCGCCAGCTGCAAGAGCAAGAGCTGCAGTTTCTCGAGCTTTTCCCTACGGTCCTCTTTCTGCGGGGTTTCCAGGATCTCTTTGGCACCTCGAAGGGCAAAAGAATGATCTTAAGGGAAGTACATTGAATCACTTTTTATATGGTGTTCGGACGTACGTCATCCCTTTGAACATATATTTTTCGCGCCCATTCAGCCAGCCTTTCGGGGAAGGGGTCGTCAAATCCGCAATCCTGGCAGGCGAGATGCTTGGCGCCGACGACGGCTTTGCCGAAGGCTTTGCTGGAGGAGGTGCCTTGGCCGTACAGGGTGCCGCGGAACCCCAATCTGAAACAAATGTATTTCGTGTTTGGGCCGGGCTGCCAGATCTTGCAGCTTCATTGTCTCGGTCTGCTGGGAGGGCTCTTGAACATCTTCAATGCCTGAGGGGCATGTGTTCCCAATCAAGAAACAAAATCGATTGATACGCTGTTGACAGTTGAAAGAAATAGCCGGTACCCGTCACAAACTAAGTCAAGCTAATTGGCATGGGTCATCTTCCAAGCACTCGCTTTCTAGGTCCTCTTCAGTAGCTTCGTAAGCGATGGCTTCCAAGGGAGCCTCATCATCACTGAACTGAAACTGCTCATCATGAGCCGCGTCATCCTCATACCCGGCCAGATTTCGTGATGTTACCTCTGGCACTTCCATCCCAACAGCGCGCATCATGCGTCGCAAAGCGGCCTCTCTAGGGACATGGGGTCGACGAGCAATGTCGTTGAACAAACTCATCGACCGCTTTAAGAACCATGCTTGCAAATGCACCGTAGAGCCTGGGCCACGCGTGCGTGAGCAAAGCATATGTTTTCAGAATCTGGCTGCGCACACTCACAAAATTAGGAAAAACTAAAAAAATAGAACGTGTGCGCGCAAGCAACGAGGGATGAGGATGCGTTGCATTTGATAGCACGAGTGCAGGTGCATGCCAATCACATCGACCCCGACCCCACGGCTGCCCAAGTTCATCATCGCGAGCGTCAAGACCTTCTCATTCGTGGTGAGGGCATCTCTAGTAACTCGCGAGCCCTGGACCTGAACCTTAGATGCAGCGCTTGCACCAGTTCGCGCGCGCGTGATCGATGCGCTATCGCGAGTTAATCTTGCTAGCAAAGCAGCAAGGCTGTGCTTTGAGGCCAGCTGCCGCAGGTCGCTTTCAGCTTCCCAGTCCATTGCCAGCCGAGTGCACATCTTAAATTGGCTATCTAACCAAGGACGTGAGCTTGGAGCAAATGTACGATATGGGCGACATGCATGATATCCAGCATCCCCATGCAAACGCACGCGTGAACCGCACGATCGAACTGGAAAGCGCGACTGGTGCGCCTGAAAGATAGATCCGCTCGGCCTCATTAGCGCGTAGGTGACTTGCAGCAACATGGGGAGCAAAGCTCGCTAAAATCAGGTAAGCCGCCTTGCAGCTGCGAATCACCAGGACCCACTGCCAGCATCCATCAAATACCCGACACCCATTGCGGAGGCCGAGAGGAAAGCTCAAGTGCTCCAAAATGAAATGGTCATTTAGGTAAGGGCTAAATCGCTCAATATGTTGTCCCGAGTCACCTCACTCCTGCCAGAATCTGAGGCCTCGCAGCTGCTGCCGGGCGCGTTGCGTGTCACACACAGCGTGTGGCACCTGCAGCTGTTTTTGGCGGGAAACAAGGAAAAGCAGGAGTTCTAGGAGTTTCAGGAGTTTGCCCAGAAAAGTCATACGATTTACCGAATTCCCAGTCAAAGGCGGGAACTCCGTTTTTTTTCAGGAGGACGAAGGTCCAGGATGTATGCTTCCCTCGACAAAGAGGAGGTGAGAAAGGACAACACTGCAAGTGGTTTTGAGCTGACTGGCTTCGTTCAGACTTCGGACACTGCGTGTAGCATGTGTCAAAGCCGGGGGGTCAGAGTTGTGAGCTGGAAAAGCACATCCATGACTTCGGATTCCTCCTATAGTTTCAGCACTACAAAACTGAGAAGCCCATTTGGGTCTGTATTCAACAGGAAAATCTAAGGCAACAGGACGGGGGTGCTCAATCTGAGGACACCTCAGTAGGGGGCTCCGTGTTTGCAACAAAAGCCAGAGCTCAACTGAAACACATGTTGCCTTTCAGCCTTTACACGGTTTTTGTTGGTTGGCCCCATGTGTCCAGCCGAAAGCTGAAAACCTTTTGATTTCCCGGAACGTCCGGGTGCTGACCGAGGGCCCTCACGATGTTCGATTCGCCGAGTCAGCAAGTTGTATCGTGAACCATTGGGTTATAACCCTCTAAGCTCCCCGTGAATGTGGGGTTGACCTTGTTACGGGGTGACGAACCGCAAGTAGCCAACCACCTAACTTGGCCGAGAACCCAAAGAAGGGTCCAAGTAGAAGTCGTTGGTGCATGTTGCTTGGATGTTAGGACTTTAGCTTTTTGCCCACTAGTGGGTTTTCCTGGGTTCTCCGTATTAAATCACTAAAAGTTAGTCACTTTGCAAACGGGAAGTGCCGTTTGATCTTGGTTTTGAGAAGGGGTCGATGTGCCTACGGTAAGAAACCTCGGGGCGTGGAAGCAAGCTCCAACGAGCCATGCCAGTCTCTCCCTTTGAAACTTCGGGGTCACTTTGCCTCGGTCAGCCAGCGTCAGGCGGGGCGGCAACACAACGAACCAATTTCGAGCGGATTCCCTATGGAAAACGTTTGAAAGGGAGCGGAAGGGGAAGCAACTTATGTCTAAGTTTGGGCTTTCAACAAGCACTTGCCCTGAGTTCCGTGAACAGCGGATTCCTTTTTCCCTGTCTTGAGCGAAAATCGATGGCCCTTGACCTTGCTTCAGAACCTAGGGCCCAAAAAGTGTGTCCCTTCGCACGAAATGATACACCATGGTTGACACCAGCGTTGGTTGAACCATTTACGGGGGGAATCATGAATCATTCCATGGTTTCTACAAGACGATCATCAGAAGCCCGGGTTGCTGAACGGTGGTGCGAAATGGATTTCGCAACCATCCACAGAATGCTCGTGAGGTCCCCCAAATGGCCAAGCAAGGGACCGTTCCGCACAGGCAGCATGTCCTCGACGCAGAGCCGCGAGAGGCCTGTGGGTTTCTCCGAACCTCCAGTCGTTCTTAAAATTGATGTCCCTCTTGTGGGTTTCCCATTTCAGGCAATGGTAGCATTTCTACCCACAGATCTCAAATTTTGTCAAGGGTTGGGCCTGTAGGGATAAATACTACTACATGGATTGTTTGGGCAACCTCCCCTCCCAAACCCCATGACACTGGTTATCGGCCGGTTCCCATGAAGAACGACCAGTCTGATGATTGTTTTTGCAGCTGTCCTAATGTCTCGATGACATTGAGGGATGCGCCTTGTAACTAGATCCCTGAGGGTGGTTGAATTCACCCACCATAAGTTTGGTTGGCCATGACCCATGAAGATAATTCTGCGGAACCCTCCCAGAAAGAGTCAACATGACCAAGGTTGAACCAGAGCTGACATGGCTGTGGGTGAAAAAACTGTACCAACATGGCACCTTGGTAAATGGAAACAAAATTTGAGCCAAACCCACATGGGGCTAAGAAAACATGTTACCTTTTGTCCTCTGAATTCTTCCCTTTAATTTATACTTAATATCGTTATCAAATTCCCTTATTCAATTGTACTGAAATTGCAACTGACTTTAAATAAAATATAATAAGGACAGAATCCCATTGGAGGTGTGAAGCGCTTTTTTGCCGAAATGACATGCATATGTTTGTTATGTTCCCCTGGTTTTAAAGGGAATCGTTTTCACTACTGGATACATGTGTTTTTTTCTTCAGGGGCTTATTCGCAAATGAAAGTACGTGAATCTGTGGATCCATTGGTGTAGAAGACTACACGAGTACTAAACGGTTACCAGGGGGAAGAACTGGTGATATGCGCTAAAAGCGCATCCAAACAGTTTTCTAGAACATCAAAAAGAAGAGCGCTTGGAAGTGGTATTGCTTGCAAGACGCATCACGAGCAACAGGGTTATTTATCTCAATTGCAGTTGACCATTAAGCGGGTCGGTGTTCCACAGACAGCTGCTTGCAAAAATCAGTTTTTGCTAAAGGAAACTCAAGCACCCAGTCTGAGCCAAAAGTTCAGCTGGTTGGAGGCTGGGTAGCTTTGGTGTGCTTGGTGTCCTTTTTTTTTGTGGTCCGATCAGCTGACAGCTCGTGTTTAGACCAAAACTGTTTTATAAACTTTATGTATGGGGGTGTGTTCTATTGCTGGTCCCAAGTTCGGGGTAGTTGAAAGGGAAACCAAGAAGAAACCCTCCTTGTTGGGGTTTTAAGGACAGACCCACAAGAGTCAGACTATGTTTTTCTGTGTGCCCTGGATGTGGGCCAGGCTTTGGCTAGGTTGACCAACCATTTTGTAGAAGTGGATGCAATTTCAGCTGGTCTTATTCAACATGTTCTTCAGTGGCCTTTCCCACAATTTGTTGACGCATTTTTCCACAGAAGGGGGACCCCCAAATGGTTGTTTTCCTGTTGGTTTCCCTTTCAATCGAACCCAAAAAGGGTACCCTCAAAAGAGAATGTTCCCATTAAAACCACCCCAAAAGATACTACCCTTAACAAAGATGGTTTCCCAGTGGAACCATTAAACAATATATATATATATATATATCTATATATGTATACATAAAAGCAAACAAAAACAGTTTCCGACTCAAACAACCCCCGCCGAAAGGATACTACCCTCAAAGAAACACTCACCCGCGTCCTCTTGGAAAATTCCTTCGGGTCGCAGGACCACGAAGCTGCCGACCCTTCTGGGCGCCAAGCCTGTGAAGGCAAGAGACGTCGGGCACCCGGAAACGAGGGGATCCCCTTGCATCAAAGTCAGAAGGGGCCAGTGAAATGCTTTCCCCTCGGACCAAACAAGAGGCCCAAAGAGTGTTTGGACCTTTTCGTGGGGGTATCAAAATCAGAAACTGGTTGGTGGTTTGTTTCGTTTTAAAGTCCACTTTGGTGACTTTGATCATGGTACCATGATGACCCTAAGGGGCATACCTTTGGAATAAGCAAAGCTAGAATCATGAAGTCGTTCTGAGGGGGGGCAAGGGGAGTGACTGCAATGCTTAGGGAAGGTAAAGGAGGCTAAAGGAATTTAAAGGAAGCTAAGGGAGGCTAAAGGAAGCCAAAGGAAGCTAAAGGAGGCTAAAGGAGGCTAAAGGAGGCTAAAGGAGGCTAAAGGTAGGAAACAAGCTTGGGGAAGGTAGAGTAAGCTAAAGGAGGTTAAAGGAAGCTAACGGAAGCTAAAGGAAGCTAAAGGAAGTTAAAGGAAGCTAACGGTAGATAAAGGCTGCTAAAGGAGGATAAAGAAGGTTAAATGGTTTGCAGTAACCCCCCTTGCCCCCCCTCAGAACGAGTCCATGATAGAAGGGAAGGGGTGACCTGCAAACGGGGGCACCTGCCAAAGCCTTAAGTTTGAAAGGAGTCATTTTCTAAGCTAAACTAGAGGTGTTTCCACTTCTCCCAAAGCGTCCCTTGGAATCCTTTGAGGGGGCTAGTTTGCACTTTCATAGAAGGTACCAAGGAATCCTTAGAGTATGTTCAACAGCCCCAACAAGGCTAAACCCTTCAAGATGGGTGAAGGGCAGCAGTCAAGCTGGGTTTGTCTCATTGCCGTGGTCTTAGGAGCTAAACCCAGCAGGTGAACACTTAACACCATTCACTTCTTCAGTGGTTGCTGCGTGTGATCAACTGCTCACTTCCCGAGTTGCTGGAATTTAAGCTTTTGGAAAGTTCATGTTAGTGGCAAGTAAGACAATGTTGTTTTTTTTTTTGTTTTTTTCTTATATATATATATTATTACGATTTTGTGTTTTTGCTGATCAACTCAGGAAGTGGGACTACGCACATGTTGCCTGCTATTTTTGAATCATCTCTTCGCCGCTCGTTGCATGTGGCCCTGAGTGGCACACGGGCAACGAAAGTCCAGGATCAACGAACCGGTCTCGGGGTGTTGCATGGGAACCAACTTGGGCAACATGCTCCTATGGCTTGGTCACCCTTAGTTGGTACTTTGGCTTGGTGCTTTGGATTTGGATTGGACATGGGAACCCCCTCTGGAAAACCAAACCACAGGGCTCCAAACCATCCATTCTTGAGGGAAGCTAAGAGTAAATGCGGGGTCAACATCGTAAAGCCCGCGGCAAGGCTTCAGCCCAGCCTGCCCACCAGAGAGAAACACCTAGGGGCTTCGAAGTACTGAAGGACTGGTTTTAACAACAGGTTCCTTGGTAACTCCTTAGGTACCAGGGAGACCCTAGGGTACACCATGCTTCCATTTGCTTAATATGTGTTGTCCCCTGCTGGTTTTAAAGGGAATCGATTTCACATCTGGAAATATGCAAGTTGTTGTTTTTTCAGCGAGCTTGTTTACAAATGCTTTCATGCCAAAGCTTGGGGAGCGCGGTTAGAGCCTGAAGTGGAGCTATCGAAGAAGCGATCGAAGAATTACGAGGTCTGTGTGTCCCCAAGGATCCCCGAATAATTACGTTCCGAGGATCTACTTGGGCGTTCGATTCGCGTTAGTATGTTGTTGGCAACCTAAGCTATCGCCCACTTAGAACAAGCCTCCACCAGTGGGGTTAGCCTTGTTATTCGGGTTGTTTTTCACCCAAGGTTCGAACTTGGCCGAAGATCCAAGTACCAAATGGCCCCACGTTGCATCTCTCAATAGCCAGCCGAAGGTACTTGCACCCTTGGGGAAGGAGAAGTCGGCAATTGTGTTGCACCGTTTGGAGAATCCCTGTGAATCCTAGGCAGACAAGACGAAGTCGGAGAAATCGGAGCACAAGTGCAAGGACTGGCGTTTTTCTTTTGTGTCGTCCTTTCCGAGGTCAATGTTTGGTAAGTTGAGTGCCTTTTGGATCCTATTATCGCCAAACTGAACTAGCCCCTTGGTGATAGAATGCCTTGTTGCTATCTTCCGGGTTTTCTTTGTCTGTCTTTTTAAGCGGCTGCAGCAACGCGTTGCGTTTGGGGGGGGGGTTGAAGTCTGGCCGAGCAAAATTCATGGATCATTGGTCTAACGCGAGCTTTGTTTGGACGAAGTTGCGATACTTTGGCACCAAGTGCGTTGAGCTCGTGATAAATGCCACCGTTGCAGCCCTTGTGACGCTTGATTTCCAGGGTGATAAGCTGGGCTTTGAAACTGCAAGATTATTCGGTGGGGTTGCAAATGGGATCCCCATTTAGTGCTAATGGGCCAGGATCAGCAACCCGAGCTGATTGTCCCCATGTGAGTGCTGTCCACAAAGCAGTTTGTTGGTTGCGGGGTACTGTTTGGGGTGTTGTTTCGTACTACCAGGAATCAGTTTTGTACCCCTGCCTTTTGTAGTAAGTAGAGAACCCTCTGAATAATAGGGGGGGGCTGCTCCCTCCAACAGTGAGGAATCCAACCGCAAAAATGGGACTCTGGGGCCCCGATCAAAATCAACCATTTAACTTCATCCCGGTGGGTTTTTCAGTGGACCCACAAGAAGCTAATCTGTTTGCAGAGGAGTCAATCGCGACCAAGTTTAGAGATGTTACTTTGTCGGAAATCAACTCCATTGCCCACCTCAACTCCAGAACACGTCTGGGGTCTCCAGGACTATTCTACTTGGATGTTCGGCCAATAAGTGGTCAGCCACTTGTGTGATATGCCCCCAAGAACAGGGTAAACCCCGCTTGGGGGAACTTACAAGTGGGTTGTAAGCTAGGTGACCCACAAATTGATAATTTGGCGGAAATTAATCACCCACGTATTTCTAGGTAGACCCAATATGATGCATAATCTAACATCGTAGTTTCTGCCTCGTGTGACCCCAGATGAATAAGAAGGGGATGTTCTTTTACACAAGTGACAAACCTCCACTGAAAGGGGTCATCCAGGGGATGTCTCACCGATCGGTTTTGATTGTGACTAAGGCCAAGACATGCTGTCTTACAGGCTGCCCCGCGCCTCCAAAGTCCGAAAGCCGACGAGAGATTTGTTTCGAGCGCGGGGGACGTTTCTCCGGCGCGAAGCCCCAAGTTTTCCGTTGGATCCATTTACCTAAGGTAGGTAACCAAGGGCTTGCCACCATTTACAGGCCAAGAGGAAACTAACTGGTTACCTACTCTGAGGGCAACACGGCTGGGATCCACTGGGTTGGCTTCAAAGTCCCCCACAACCCAATACTTTTTTATATCTTAAAGTACTCCATCCACTAACATGGCACCTGACGGGGAGGAAGGGCTTTTTGGACATATCCTTCCATTTGCTTTTTCGCCCCCTGGAAAAAAGGAGAGAATCAGTCCAGTAGTGAAGCTTACCAGGGAAACCCATCGATTCTTCCAAAAGGTCACCCATTGCGCAGTCTTCTACGTTTGGTAAGTTGTTGTTTCGTCCAGGGGACAACTGCGGGTCAACTTCTGCAGGGACTCGGGAATTCCTTTGAGTTCCCTTTATAGACCCAAACTCTACCCCGCTTGTAGGTTGCAGCTGACAGGATTATTTCGGGCGGTGGCACAGCGTCAAAGACCTCCGGGACCGTCGCAACGCAGCTGTTCTTAAGGCCGGGATAAGCGGGTGCGTCTTTGTTTGAAGCCGCCTTTCCTCCGAAGAAAGACACGCGCGAGTGATATTTGTTTTAGATTGTTACCAACATGGCTCGGAATTCTAAGGAATACCCTTGATTCTTATCCCATGTCATCCGCAGGGTCCGAGCATTTTTGCGATTCATCCAAGCACCTTGCTCTTTCTCCTGCTGGTTCTCGATAGGGAATCGATTGGGGGTTTGGAAGAGATACCTAGAAATTTCCTGACTGGCCGCCAAATGAACTCAGTTGTTCAGTGGCACCCTTTTTCCTTTTTTTTGGGTGGCTGCCCCACAACAAAGGGTCTTCCCCAAAAAGGGTTCCCTTTTTTCCCAGGGTCACTAACAACTGAGTGTATGATTTCATCAGCGAGTGTTCGTTGGGATGGGATAGTTTACAAGCGAAACCAAGACGCACCTGGATTGGGGTCCCGATGTTTGAGAAGCCAAAGAGTGCCGACTTGTGGCAAGGACTTGCCGGAATACCCTTCTCTCCACTAATGTGAACCCTGGATTAATAAACCCCTGGTTGATTAATAGGGGGGTGCCCCCTTTTAGTGGGTATTCATCACTTTTGGAGGGAACACCCCCCTACTAGTGGGACGGGTTTATTAATCCTGGGTCAACATTAACATGGAACCCACCGGAAAATCCCTTTCATCGGAAAATTGATTTCCCAGGACCCACTGGCAAGTTCTATGTTGGATGCGAGGGTTGGTCAAGCTGTGGGGAATGCTTCCATGGCAATCAGTAACTCGGACAGTAGCTTGGCAACAATAAGGTCGGTTTGGTTTCCTTAGGGCCAATTTCTACTGTTTCCTTTGGTTTCCTTTGGTCTCCTTGTTTTTTTGTGGGTTTCCTTTGGTTTCCTTGGCTTTTCCTTTGGTTTTCCTTTTTCCTTCGCTTTTGTTTGCTTTTCCCCTGGTGTTCCCTTGCTTTTCTTTTGCTTTTCCCTTGGTTTTCCTTTGGCTTTCCTCTGGTTTTCCTTTGGTTCTCCTTAGGTTCTCCTTTCGTTTTCCGTTGGTTCTCGTTTCGTTTCCTTTGGTTTTCCTGTTGTTGTTTGTGTGGTTCCTTTGTGTTTTCTTTGGTTGTTCATTGGTTTTTCCCTCGCTTTTCTTGGGTTTTCTTTGTTCTTGGTGTGCCTTTGATTTGCTTTGGTTGTTCTTTGCTTTCCTTTGATTTCCCCTGTTTTTGGGTATTATTTTGTTGTCCTTCGATTCCTTTGGTTCTTGTTTAGAGTTCTCCTTTGGTTCTCCCTGGTTTTCCTACCTGTCCTTTGCCTCATGGGAGCAATTCGAGAAAATGACGGCCAGGGAATGCGATGGATGCACAAGTTCCTGACTGCCGACCGGAACATGGCTCTGGCACCTCGCAAGAAATCGAAACAGCGCAAGCCAGTTGTACCACTTTGACTTGACTGCTATTGGGTTGGATCTTTAGACTTCAACTTTTTGGAAATCATGGGGTTTTCCACTAAACCCGCAAAAAGTTAAACACTTTTTGCAGAGGGGTCAACAGCAACCAAGTTGAATCCGTGGTTGAAACCACTGTTGGTTGGTATTTGCAGGGGAATCATCCTTCCAAGGTTTCTTAGGTGCAGGATTCCGTCCATGCACAGTGGTTGTACCCTTGTTTTCTCTGGAAGTTCTACGTAAGTGTTCACCCTTCGAGTTGTTTTCACACATGCCCATGTCCTTGCCTGTTTTAAGTGAGTTTTCTTGTTGGTGGAATGATGATGAAGAGGGACAAGTGGCTCTTGTTGGAGGCGCTCACACTTTAGCAATGTTTGTTTAGGTTTCTTTCAGGTTCCACTGGGAGTCTGCTTCTGACTCTGAAACGCTTAAAGCCATGCTGGGCAACGTACTCATGTTTTGGGGTAATGGCCTATGTTTTGCGCTTTTTTAGATGGTTCTCCTGTTTGTGCCAGCAGATCCCGACTGGAGACTTGTTCAAAACCCATCAATTGTTGTCCTAACACTTGGAGGGTCAGCATCAAAGATACACATGCCCCCAGCTTCAAACAAGTTTGATTGTTATTCACTTATACACCGGAGTCCTGCAGGAGTGGTTTCGTTCTGGCCAAGATGCATGTTGGGCTTTGGCATACCACAGATCAACGCGTGTTGAATCTCACCGCCCGAGTCTTGCTTCAGGTTAGCTGTTGGCTGCCACTGCGGGGTGTCACTTGAATGGGCTTAGTCTCAGCTAAATAACCCGACATGTTGAAAAAAAGAGCAAAAGGGTCACGGTTTTGAGTTGCCCAGATAACTTCAGATTTCTGCCAGTTGTTGGGTTTTTGCTGGCGAATTTGGCTGAGATCGAGATTGGGGACGACGCCGCCTGCATCTTCTTTGAGATTTGGTGCCCAGGCAAAAACAAATGGTGCGCTCTTATCTGGGGTCGTAGCAAATTGGTATTTATTGGGTCTGCTGCAAGTTGGTAATTTAGGCTGACTGAATATGTGTGTGTATTTGTGTTTTTGAGTTGGTACCCTTTTGCGATAGTTTTGAGCCCATTTTTGGAGACTCTGCAGGTGGACCATGGATGTTTCGCACAAAAAACCTGGATGGGGAATTGATAGTGCGGCCTGTCTTTTTTTGGACCCCAACATGGCAAACCGGTTCTCCTGTTGTTTTTTTTCCTTAAAGCACAACTTTTGTGATTGTTGCAGTCGCCCTTCTGTGGGTGGTTGCGAAATCCGTTTGCACCACGAAATGAAACCGAGGTTGAAGTCATTGTTGGTTGGTATTTACAGGGGAATGGAATCATTCCAGGGCTTCGTGTTTCTTCGGTGGAGCATTATTTCGTCCGTCCACAGAATGTTGCACCCATTCTAGTAACCCCGCATAAGCCACACATACGAGCAGCGCCGAAAGCCCATCTATTGTCGATTCTGCCAGCCCGTTTACGATTTGCGATTCATATCTTCACCGTTTTTGATCAAATGTTTAGTTGTTGCGTGTTTTTTGGTGTTTTGTTCGTTGTACATTAGGTTTGGGGGGCTGCAAAAAACACAGTCAGCCTTTTGCAAGCCCATACCGTTTGGGTTGCGAAGATATGGGCCATTCTTCGACCGGCAAAGCGTGCTGGCAAGTTGGGATGGTCATCGGCCTCTCAGAGAATGTTGTTGGACCAGGAGTGCCTGGAACCATAACCATGACCGACATACCGCGAGTGTTGACCCTTTGATTATGGCTCATGTCGGTGTAGGGTTCAGCGATAAGTCAGGTTATCCTATTTTGGTGCTTTGGATTGGTGCGGATTTGATTCCCTGCTTGCAGAGAGCAAATGGGAAACCACCCCGAACCACCAACCCCCTGCAATTCGGCTCCAAACGAGGGAAGCTGATTGTAGGATTCCTATTGCAGCCATGACCATGGCACCATCCAGATTGATTCGCATGTTTTTTCCTTGGATCCCACGTTTTTTTTTAACGCAGCGTGACCAGATTTCCCTCACTCATTGATCAGCACAACTCTACACATGTACATGATCTTGGGGCCATGCCGCCATGCGGCTATGAGTTTTACCTCAAAAGTGGTGGACACGAACCCCCATGGAATTCTGTCCCATGGGCCCATGGGAGTTCGTCTTTTGGTTGGACCTGTCTTTTGGTTGGTCTTGAAGCTTCCCCAGGGTTCGGTCCCCACGAAAATCTAGAGTTAATAAAAACCATACACTGGAAGGTAAGCTAGGACGGTCATGTCTCCTGAGTTCATGGACTTGCGCCACTTTTGTTTGGCTTGCCATTTTAGCGACAGACAACAAGTCCCAGGACTTGTTCCTGGCCAGTCCCTTTAGTCCCTTTTCCGGTTTGGTTGCCACTAAACGTGGCTGAAACGCAAAACACCAGGTCAGACAAAAGTGGCTACAAAACCAAAGAAGTGGCTACAAAACCAAAATTGACTACAAACATTGTTTCGCCCATGGCGGCTTGCGCACGCGCTGAGGTACACCTCGCCCTGGCCTCGGGGCCTCCGTCGATACGTTTTTGGAGGTGAAGGGTAACCTTGTCTTCCCCAGAATTAGCTCCTTTTTTTTTGGTTGGTCCCTTTGTTTGCCACTAACCAGGCAACAAATATGTTTTTTTGCTGGGGTCCTAATTCCAGCCTAGTCTAGTTGTCAGGTCTGTTTGAAAGGAACACCAGCGGGAAAACATGTTTTGTTTTTGGGGGGGGAGTTCCGCATCTCCCGTCTTGAGCTTTGAGCATTTCGGAAAACAAATAGCGGTAAATAAACAGTTTGGACGTTTTGTTGGCTAAGCTACTCAGCAAGTAAGCCATAGGTGATGTTGTTTTGCTGAGTTTAGTCGAGAAAAATCAGGGACCCGGTAAACCTCTTGGTTTAATCAACCAGGGCCATCTATTTTCCTAAAAGGACACCTATGGGGGTTCCTATTTTGGCGCACATTTGCCTTTGGGGGCAAACTCCAAATGAGAAACGATGAGACCGCAACTGTTTGCATGCTGTACATCAGTAGATCAAATCAGAATGTTTTCCCAAATGTATTCCTGTCGGTTGCATTTAGTGTTGATTTCTTTTTGGCGGTTCTTTGCATCATTGAACGCCTCCGAAGTCTCCACCCCCGACTAATGTGTGTAAGGAGACCCTTGCCTGCCAACAATGGAGAAGGAAGGCGCACCTTTTTCCCAGTCAGTTGGGGCGGGGCAACCACCCAAAGGAGATACCCCGAAAAGCGACGAACAGCGACAACCACGAGTCATGCGCTTCTGAAGGTCCTGTTAAAGCTATCCATCAGAAGGTACCCCTCGAAACCCCACACATACTTAACCAGAAATGGGCCGCGTTTCCGCCCCCCCATTTGTTGTTTTCCTGTTTTAAAGTTTATTTCTTATATATGTCATCGGTCCATTCAGCCCCAGCACAGGTCGTCCTCGATTTTGCGTGGCGCTGCTCGGGGAATCGCGCAGGACGGGTTTCTGGTTGTGGGAAACTCGGAGTTTGGCTTGCGACTTTCTGTGATAAGAGAATCCCCAAAGTGAGAAAGTACTGTAGCCATGGAAATATCAACCTCTTTGCTATCACCGAAATGGTGGATTTTTTCCACGTGCGAGGTTTTCCGTGGTGGAACTGTAGATATTTCAGGTCCGTTTCGTTGAAACCAACCAAGAGGCCACCAAAAGGAGCCCAGTGGATCTGAGGCGTTTTGCCACTGCAGGTAGCCCTTCGAGCCATGTTCAACCCTAAACCCTAAACCCTAAACTATGGTGGATCCTAGGCGTTTTGCCACTGCAGGTAACCCTAAACCAGCCATGTTCCGTTGTTTTTTTGATGTATCGGGTGGTTCCCGCCCTTACCGACAGAACTCGGGGAAATGGATCTGGGGTGCGTGACTTGTTTGAATGGCAGCCTTGAAACCCAGTGGTTCGGAGGTGGACCGGGGCGTGTGGCTTCCATCCCCCCAGTTTGAGGTTGGTTTTATCGGAACGTGAAAGGAGCGGCGCCATTGTGGGGATCTGGTCTGTCACATGTTTGCTCTGTTTGCGTGTTTGCGGGTCAGGGTTGAATCAAGCGCACAGTGGCAGGGTTTCAATCTGGGTTCCTTCAAAACAACGCAAGAAGGTTGCCCTCAGCAAAAGACACGCACACGCATATATATATATACATGTATATATATATACATATATATATATACATATATATATATATATATGTATACATACATATAGTACCCCCCCCCCCCAAAAAAAAAACACACACACACACAAGCGACACTGTGTTCGGGTTTTAGCTGCATTTTGGCCTCCCTCTCGAAAGACATGTGCTAAAACTATCTAAAGCTAGCAAATCTGGATCTCGGAGAAGAGGGAATACCACAGTAGCAAGTACGATAGTCATCTGGATCTGGAAATCAACGGTCTCTAAGAATCCGTCTGGGAAATCCATATTTGCAGCCAGATTGACCAATGTCGATGTCTGTTTTACCGTTGCCTTTTAGAAAAAAAAACAAACACCAAAACATATGGGATTCTAGATTCAGCAATATCAGAAATACATGATTTGAAATGTTGACTCTTGAATCCGATATGTTATTTTTCATGGTATGAAAAAAACTGGCAACACCGTAAAGACATCCACTACTAAGATGGGTGCAGTGCACCACACATGTTTGCAAGCATAGGTTCCGCAATCAAGGAGGCACCATCATCTTGCCTAGTACTCCTTACTGCTCCCTTTAATATTCCCCTACCATTCCCCAAGTATTCCCCTAGTATTGCCTTAGTATTCCTTTAGTATTTGCTGGCATATCCCGAGAAATTCTCAGTACTCCCCTCCGAATTCCTCTAGTATTGCCCTACCATTCTCCTAGTATGGCCCTAGTGTTCCCTGAGTATTCCCCATGTACCTGCCAAGTATTGCCCTAAAAGTCCCTTAGTATTGTCTTGAGATATCCCGAGTAATTCTCAGTACTCCCCTAGTATTTCCTCAGTATTCCACTAGTATTATCCTAGTATTAAGTATCCCCCTAAGTTTCCCTGAGTGTTCCCCTAGTATTCCCCTAGGATTCCCCAGTATTCCTGACTATTCTTCTAGTGTTGCCCCAGTATTCGCTTAATACTTCCCAAGTATTCCCCTAGTATTTCCCTGGTATTCCTGTAGTATATCCCAAGTAATTCTCAGTACCCCCTTAGTATTGCCTCAGTATTCTTCTAGTGTTAACCCTTAGTATTCCCCTAGTATTCCCTGAGTGTTCGGCCCAACCCGCCCAATTTCCTTTGTTTAAATCAGACAACCCTTAATTGGTGGTTTGGATTGATGGTTTGGGGGTTGAACCCTGGTTCTTGTAGAGGGTATATGGGACACCCCAAAGAAGTCTCCAAACCACAAGTTCAAAACGTTTTGCTTTTTTGCCCGTTCGGGTTTCCTTTGTCGTCCCTTGGTCCCGGTCGGATTTGTCGAATCCTCGTTTGGCCAAGCTTTTCGAGGGATAGAAACCAGTAAGCATGGATTTCCATAAAGCAAACTATCCTTTGGTGCATTTTGCCAAGGGATGTTAGGACTTTAACTTTTGCCAACCAATGGGTTTTCCGTATTAAACCACTAAAACTTAGTCACTTTTAGCAGGGCAGCAGAAAGCAACCAAGTATCGCCAAATACCCACCAACGAGTCAAGTTCAACTGTCGAATTTCCCGCCTTTTTCTGTGTTGTTTTCCTGTTTTTTTTTTTTGCTGAGGATCTCCTGGAGCGGTACGAGCTGCATCTTCTGCAGCCCTCGAGATGCGCCTGCAAATTCTGCCACGGCCGGGCTGCTCGGAGTCAAACAAGTCGAGGAGGAGTCCGAAGCTCCCGGCTGGACCCCAAGCTGCCCAAAAAACACACACACATGTGTATGTATACATATATATATATATATGTGTACATATATATATATATATATGTGTACATACATATATATATATATGTATACTCACTTGCCCAAAGCCGACCTTTTGACCTTTTGGTTTCTGTGGTTTGGTCCACTCTAAGTCATGGCCCCATAAGTTTTGGTCACCTGTTATTTCCGGGTCCTTTGGGCTCCCAGGTATGAGGATGGGTCAAAATAACCGCCAGGATATGGACCGCAGGTTGAGTCCCTATTTCCATTTACCAGGCTTCGATGTTGGGAACACATGGTTGACCCTCAGCCATATACATATATATGTATATATATATTCTCCCATGTAGAGCACGCAGGCACCGAAGTCTAACGACACAAGCAGACAATACATATTATATATATATAATGTTTACATCCTCAGAATCCTGTCATCCCAACGCGGAATCGATCCCCAGAAGTTGCGTTGGGTCATGTTCGACCAGCCTCCCCGGGCGCCCTTCTTTCTCGGGAGAAGGGCTGGGCGGATTTGCGTGAAGGCCCCCTGAAAACTGACTCCAAAAGGCGTTCTGAAATTGCACGCATATCAACTGGTTTGGTTCAGTGCGCGTTTGGCTCAGCTCACTGACCAACATAGTGTTGTCCTGAAGTCAATCGAACAAGTTCCAATTCTTTTTGTATTCTGCCGGGGTCACTGAGAAATACTGGGAAACCAATCAGATGAAAGATTGTGTTTGGCCGCCCGAACAAGGCACTGGAGACGGGGGCTTGTGCGATTTGCGCTTGGGTAAGAGCAAGCCTTGTGTGATAGGAACGTGTGTGTGTGTGTGTGCGTGTGTGTGTGTGTGTGTGTTTTTTTTTGGTAGGTACAAGCTGTTTCGGGCTCTTGGGTGGGCACAAGGGGCATGGGTCGGCGTTTGAATATGAATAAGGGGAATGCTTTCTTGGTGGCTCCCAGCCATCCGGTTCCTTAGTTTTTTTGCTTTTTAGCGTTTAGTGGTTCCCATTTCACCCAACAGTTAGTCACTCTTAGGGGACCTGAGCTGAGGGCAGCCCAGCTTGGCGGGTGTTTGGCGTCTTGGAAAGCGGTTGGCTTTGTTGAGTGCGTCTCACCAGTGCTGACGCGCCTAGACAGGCAAAACCTCGAGAACGCCGTGGGGCGGCCCGGGGGATGTCTGACGTCGTGCCCCGTTGTTGGTGCGATAGGCAGGGAATGACAACGAGTCCGGATGTTGGGAATGAACCGGTGGAAGGGGATTCCCTTCTAAGGGAAACCACCAGTTGGATGGTTTTTTTACGGGGTCATTCCCTCATGCCAATCGCACCAGCAAGTTGTTCCTTCATTTTTTTGCGTGTGCGCTTCCCTCACAAATCATCGGCAACCAAAATGGGTGGACGGGGCGCGAAACCCGGCCTTTTCCCATCCATGTCCAAAGGCTTCAAAGGCTGCAAGCTCAGCAAACCGGAGGGTAGACTACCTTTGGGGATTCCTTGCTGGCATTTTTGTTTTTTTTTTGTGAACTGTGGTACCCAATGTATATTTCAGTTTCCTCGACGGTGTACAGGTCAGGTGTTGGGGTAGTTATGGTTCATGTGTGTCTTCGGGTAAGGGCTGGTGAACCCAACGAGCTTTAACACCTAGACGGTTGGTTTATGAACTGGTTACTCCAAACTCACTGTTTGGTGCGTGACGGGAAGTTTTCCCTCTATCAAGCAACATGTGGTTGGTCTCTCTTTTTTTTGTTCTGAGGGTGCCACTTTTCGGGGTGGGTGTAAAAGGACACCAAGCGCGACACCATGTTTTGTTTTTCTTCTTTTTCTTGTTTTTTTTCTGCAGGGGGGAGGTTCTTTCATTTTGGCACATACGATGCCTTCCCACCCCCCAGTTGGTTCCTAACCAAGTGGACGTATCTTCCGCACCTTGTGTAGCGCTCTCCGAAATGTGGTTTCCATGCTCTGGCACCGTTGATCCGACAAGGTACCTTTATGGTGTACACAAAGTACATACCCCCGGTTGTGGCTTCCCTGGTTTCCAACCCACTTTATAAGGGGTATAGACTCTTTTGCAGAGAGGGGTATGAACATCAGCGGGCCTTT